TTGGGAAATTGCAAATAAAGGATATGTTCCTTTCTTTTGGAGTAACACCGGAAACCCAAATTTTATTAAACAACATCAGTAAAAACACTGATATATAATCTGGAGCGACTTTTAAGTGTTTCGCTCTAATGCAATCAAGTCCGGCCGCCTTGTTATTTTTCAGTTTTAGTATAGCCTTCTGACGTAGTAAAATTTGAGTTGGCTGGGAGTAGGTCATTCTCCGTAGGAAGTATCACATGATTGGAGTTGAACATCTCAGAATAATGTTCTAACCATAATTTCATTTGTACTTCAGGGTCTCGAATGTTATTATCACCAATTTTTAATCTGGGAAGACATTTAAAATTTGAAAGTTTTCCGAACATTTTCAATTTCTTATAAGCATCAAATAATCTGTTGCATCTCATATCTGCCTCAATTTCATTTGCTCTATTGACCACATATTTCCTTCTATCTGACCTTAGAAGTCTCTGTATAGTTTTCCATAGATCCACATCTCTAAAGCTTTTGGTTTTTAGTTCCTTTATTTTGTATTCTGTGGTCGGGGATATCCATTCTTTAGGGGGAGGGCCTCTAATTTTTGTAAAATTCTTACAGTTCAGTAATAGGATGTTTTTGAAATCACTCCAGCAGCTTTCCAGGGTTGAATTCCGATTAGTTTGCATGAAACGATTTATTTCTAGAGAGAGCTTAATCGAAATTTCATCTTTGACTAATGGACATTTTAAATTATTATAGTTTTCCCGACAGCTTAGTTGGCGGGGAGCTACTCTCTTAGATGCACTCAGTGGCGTAGCTAGGGATTTTCCTTAGAGGGGATCCATACATATAAAAACTGGGGGGCTTCGCCCCCCCCCCCAGACCCCCTTTAACGGCCCTTCGGCCCTTTTGCCCGGCCTTCGGCCGGGTTTATCTTTCAAATCATAACCATATCTTCGATAATATAGAATATATATTTTTTAAATGCATCAATAATATGTTATTGTAATTTAGTAGATTATTCTCAATGACTTTATAATAATACTATCCAGAATAATTTCAATAGTAATATAATATCCTTCCACAAACATCAAAACCAGAAAAATAAAATTCATATAAAATCACTTTTAAGTGTTTTGAACGTATAATCTAAAAAAAATTTTTGCTCTGGGAGGGGTCCAAACCCGAAAACCACCCCCGTAGCTACGCTACTGGATGCACATAAAGTATTTTTGTTTCTCCACAATTCACTATTGATCATTAAATGTTCTTTCACCATTTTGTGGTCAGAGATGTTGACTGTAGTAATCGCTCTCACATCCAGAAATCAGTTATATGAATGTTTGACAAAATAAAATCAATTTGTGAGGAATATTTATTTCTATAGAAAGTAAAAGTGTGTTGAATCTTATGTTGAAAAAAAGTATTTTCTATTTTAAGGCCCTTACCTTTACATAGTTCTAATAAAGACAAGTTGTCAGAATTATTTTGGCAAGATAGCGTAGCATTGCCAATAGTGTTGTTTGTTAAGTAAGACTCCATTTTACCGATTTTAGTATTGAAATCGCCAAGAATAATCAGGTTGTATCTCTTGGGTAGTGAATCAATAATGTTGTTTAACTCATCAAAAAAAAGCATCCTTTCCCTCAGGGCTGGGGGCGAGTAAATATTTATGATGATAGTAGGTTTGAAGGCTGTATTAATGTAAAGGGCTGCCATTCTTTCCGAAATAGGGATAAACTTCCTGATATATTGGCAGATATTATTTTTAATTAAAAATGCCACTCCGGACCATTTATTCATATTAGTTCCAGAACTTAACAATGTAAAATCTTTAAATACAGCTTTTAAGTCATTGCACATATGGGTTTCTTGTATGGCGATTATGTCCATATTCTCATTAGAGAGTAATTTAGTAAGGATAGAGATTTTATTATAAAGACCGTTTATATTATAAGTGGATATATATAATTGTCCCTTAATTTCGAACATGATATAAATATTATAACTTCTTTAAAAATCAAGAGGGAGGAAATTCTAAAAGAAAGGAAATCGAAATAAAATGGAAGTATACTTCAGAAGGGGATTTGTAAGGATAGCTATAATAATAAAAGATACTTCAGGTAAATCGGCCAGTAAAAGAATTACAACTGAAAGGAAATGTAAGACATCAAGGTTGATATATGAAAGTTATACCAACCGAAAGTTACACCAACCATGGCCAGTTTAAAGATTTTAGGCCCAAATTTAATTCAGCCAACCTATAGTGTAGTAGAAAAAGATGCACAGGCTTTGCTCACTTATCATTGAAAGTATAGCCATATTTTACTTTATTTATTATACTAAATTTTATATTTTAAGTGGAAATTCATTGCAATCTACAAACAACTCTCTAATAACTCAAGCATTCACTGTTGAGAGTATAAAAATTTTTACCAATTGATTTTAGTAATTTTAATGATTTTAGGCCCAAATTTAATTCAGCCACCTAAAATGTAGAAGAAGATGCTGAGGTCATGCTCACTTCTGCTGAAGGTATCGATTTATTTTATTTTACTTTATTGATTATATTAAATTTTTTAAGTGCAAATTCAATTCAGCTTGCAAATGATAATAAATCAGCAGGAGGAGCAGCTATTGAAAGATTTTAATCCTTTGAATAAACATAATTAATAAATCTATTTTAGATGATAGTGATTTTCCAATAGATTTAGAAATGCTCTAATTGATTTACATCAATATTGTTTATATATATATATATTTATTATACAATATAGATATGAATCATATCTATTCAGTGTTAATACCTTATATGAATGCATATTGTATTATGATTGTTATTACAATATTATATATTATTCAGTACAAATATAAATGGTCAATCTGTCTATGCAATGTATAAATACTTAAAATAAATCATTTATTAATATATAAAGAAGACTTTAACACTAAAAATAAAAAATCTAAAGCCTGTTAATTTAATAGGGACATTTATCAAAGAAGTGAATGTAAAAGTTATTATTTAAAATATAAAAAATTTAAATAACCCTTCATTTACTATGAATAAATTTTTATAAGAAAGAGAGATATATTGTTTGCCATGCTTTTAAATTATTAGAAAAAATCAGATTGAAAATATATAAATACCATGTTTAGGATTTAAAAATGATTCATATTATATTAGGCACATTAGGCAATAACAATTGTGAAAAAATTAATAACATATTTATTGCTCATAAGTAAGTATGTATAAACATTTTTATAACATATATTTAAAAAATTATAATTAAACATTATATTTAATTAAAATTCACTAAATAAAGAAAATATTAGTATTTTATTGATAATATTTAAAGATAGAGTTTATCTAATGGCCATATATATTAATGTAATATACAAAAAATTAGTATTTATAAATTGACAATAATTTATTTGGAAAAAATTAACATATTTATTAATATACTAAATATATTTATAATATATATAATATTTATATTTATGACTTTTTAGTAGTGCTGTAAAAATTTTAAAAAATTCGAACGCGTTCAACGTTCATTGACAAAAATCGAACGCGTTCACGTTCAAATTCAAAAAAAGGAACGCGTTCAAGTTCATGAACGCGTTCATACGTTCAAAATTTTATGATAAATTTTTTTTAAAATTTAATTTAATATAAATAAATGCCTTATATTTTTCAACACAATATATTAGCCATGATAAAAAATAAGTTTTATTTTGATAATATAATTATAAATACAATATAATAGAGCGATAAAAAAAATAAATTTATAAAAAAATTTTCTTATTAATTTTTAATAATAATTGCTTTTCAAAATTTTCATCTGATGATAGGCATGAACGCTTGTCAGTTAATACAGCGTTAGCTATACTAAAAACTCGTTCAACAGGGGCGGATGAAGGGATTGCGGTGTTATACTTGATTAACAATTCTTTTAAAAGGGGGAATTTATTAAAAACATTTAATGTTTTATCCATTGTTTCAAAAAATTGAGCTATGTTATCATCCTCCAATCTGCCCTCTTCTTCCTCGTCAAATAAAAAGGATATCTCGGAATTGATTTTAAAACAGTGAAATATTTTTGATATTTGGGCCATGGTAATTCTAATTCATCTAATATTGAATTTTGATTTTCAGAATCTGATTATGAAATATTTATATCCATGCAAATGCTAATCTATTAAATTAAAATATAAAATATTCAAATTAATAAACTTTAATCTTATCTTCTCTAGCAGTAGCACTATGGTACGTTAATTGCAATATGAAAAAGGAAAAAGTAAAAACAGCTGATTAAAAAATATAAGACTTTTTTGTTAAAAAATTGGATTAAATATTAATTTTTCAAATAAATAAAAATATAAGACTTTTTTGTTAAAAAATGCGGATTAATATTAATTTTTCAAATAAATAAAAATAAAAAGTGTTTTTAAAATTGAACGAACGTAAAATTGAACGCGTTCATCAAAGAAAAGGAACGCGTTCACGTTCAAAGTTCGTCAAAAAAAAGGAACGCCGTTCATCACCTTTTTTCAAAAAAACGAACTTCGTTCATACAACACTACTTTTTAGTGGAGTAATACATTATGGGAACATTTACTTATTTTTTTATTTTTTGCTATTCTGATTTTCGCTGTTTCGTACTGAATTCGATGTTTATTTACCATTTTTAAAAAAAAAATTGGATTGAGTTAATTTTTTGTGATTATTTAATGATTGTATATTAGAGATCTGCAAAGGCCAGCCAGCTGAAAGACTCCCCAGGAAAATTAAAATAGGCTAGGCAAGTCATACATAAAAAATTTTGGGCCAGGCCTGACAATTTATATATAAAAATCAAGCAGAGTATCACAAATCTCTGATTTTTTGTAAAATTTTAATATAGCCTTGGCATTAAAATTTTGATATATTTTTTTTGAATTTCAAGCATATATTTTGATTTACTATTTGAAAATAAATTATATGTTAATCTTTATATTTTAAGAGCTGTCTAAAAAGAATATTTAATCTATTGATAATAAAGTAAATTAACAATAAATTAAACAATTTATTTGTGATATGATCCAATTACAAATGCTCAATACAGAATCATAATAAAAAGGTCTTGTAAAAATAGATAGCAATGGAGGAGAGATACTAGGGCCTTAAATGGCATTGGGGAAAAATACGATATATATATTAAAAATGTTATGGGCAGAAAATATGTATAAAATTGGGCCATTTCTAATAAAATTGGGCCATTTATAAATTTTGACTTTTTGAAAAAGACAAATTTTAATGGGCCAGGCAAGTTGCACAAAATTATTATTGGGCTGGAAAACTTGTGCAAAATATTTTAATGAGCTCTCATATATACTAAAATTATGACTTTTTATTTTATACATAATTTCCTAATATTAAGAAATAAAATTCAGTTCACTTGTAATGTATAAAAAATTTATATGAATTGAAAGAAGGGATAGATAAAAATGTGATATTATATTATATGGAACAAGAAAGGGATTCAAATTTTAGCAAGTTATATCCAGCCATAAACATTGCCAACATTATATTTCATTTTGGGGAATAAAAAAATACTATATCATTTGTGACAATGCACCAAATATTGCCTCACGAGAAACAAAAAATTTCAAAATGTTTTTTGCTTTGCCCATAGTTTATAGTTAACTTTTTTGTAAAGAAAATATGAATTTTTTTATATAACATTGTTTAAAGATGTAAATAAAATCAATCTAAGTATTGAATAAGTTTTGTATAAATTTCAGAAAAATATCAATATAAATTGCAATTCTTTTTATTCTACTAGCAAAAAAATAATTATACATAATTAATAATCTTTTTAATAAAAGAATTAAAGCATAATTTTAAAAATTGTTAAATAAAATTTTCAAATGGTTGACAATTTTCCCATTATGCTAAATTATTTCTCCATATCAATAAGCTCTAATTTTGGATCTAAAGATTTATCAAAATTATAGAAACCAAAAAATAATACCTTCAAATGTAAATTCAGGAAATTTATCCAAATCTTTATCCTTTTGCCCTTGTGAATATAGATTGGTTAGTTTTGTAAGAGCATCACTTATCCTTTTTTCTAATTCGGGAGATGCATCATACAACATCTTACTCGATTTTCTTGTTAATGAAGATTAATATTTAGATTTTTTTATTTATTAACTGTTTGTTTTGAGTATATTCTCTAATTTTTTCGAGAAATAATCTCTGAATAGGATCGGATTCTGTGATATTTTTAGTTTTTTGAAAATGATAAATAGATGTCGATATGCACCGTTTGATAATCATATTGCAATTAGTTAATTCGACATAATATCGAAATATTAATAGATTTATAAATGCTGTAACCCTGAATTCATAGGGGCGCGATTGTTATTTAAACGCGACAAATAAAAAAAACAGTAAATATCAATGACATATAATAATACCTAGACTGACAATTCATTCATTAAAATGCATTTTAAGCATGTATCAATTGAAATCAGCTGGAACACCATGTTGAATACAACGGTGATAATTTGTTTTAAAACCAATTCTTAATATAAGTAATACTATAGTTATATTTATAATAATTATTTTACCCTTAGTAGCTAGTTCTTAATATCATGAGTTCATTATTTATTTTTATTTTATATTTAATTTGCTACTGATACAATTTTATTAATCAAACATTATATTTTATCAAAAGCATTTATTTTTTATTTTCTTAATTATTAATATTTACATAAATTATAATAATATGGTGATATCTTCTAAAATAAGTTTAAGCTCTTTGCTTGTAATATGCAGGTTAGCAATATCAGCAATTATTATTATATGTCATTGGTAAATATTATATCGCATTTATAGTTACCGATCGCGTGATTTGAGTCGCAAGTCACCCGACCCATTTTGTATTTGTCGCGAAATTTTGAAATATTCATTTATTCATTACCACGCCTAGAAATTGCACGAAGTACAATTTCATCACCCACCAGGAGTTGGGCGTGCACCAAGTATATTCACTAGTATATAGATCCTATACATGATGTATATCCGTTTTATTATAGTGGAGGGTACCACTATGTAGCCAGCTAGCAAAATGAAGAAGGGAGAAGTACGAAAGTGGGGATGTATTAGTTCCGTTACCAGCAGAATGGTGTTAAGAAATATAATGTCATGTAATAATGTACCTGAATCCTGATATGATTATTTATTGAGGCAACAAAAAAACAATAATAACTCTTATACCTTGGTGAGTATTGAGAGTTTAAGTTAGGTTTGCATGATGAGTCCCTTCTTTGTTTGTTGTTCTTGGAGTCGATAGCGCGTGTCATGTAGACCTTGTACGCGCTGTGCAAATGATATTTGGGTTCGTCGGTGTTATTGCGTTATCATCATAACCAATGTTCGTTATCATTATCTATTATTCTATTTGTTGTTGTTGTAGCTGTTGTCGTTATTGTCGCCGATATCGTATGTCCAGAAGAAGAAGTCTTGGGTTCATATGAGGAAAGTTGCGTTGTCCAGATTATTATCATCATCAAACATGCTTTGTTCTAGCCATTGCAAGAAAAGAAAAAGAAGAGAACGGTTCCTATTTTAATTTAGGCCATATTTTAGATGTTCTTTTAGGTGTTTCTTGTTTTTGCTGAGTGCCATGAAATCTGCAAGCGAGAGGTTGTTCAGGTCCATATCCATAGTATTTAGGGGTACTTTTCTTCCTACCGTCAGGGGACCATTTCATGGACGAGAATATCATATTTTCCTGCGAGTGTCTTAAGCTATGGCCTAGTAATTCTAATCTCCCCATGGGAATGAGTCGATTGATTGGTAGGATGTCGCATCTATTTCAGAGCGTTGAATTTGAGGTGTTGTATGGGTAATATGTTTTGGTGATTCTTCTTAGGCATTTGTTTATAAATGTTTGAGTTGCGTTGATGTTGCTTTTAGTGTCCTGCCAAGTCTCCAGTCCGTAGGTAAGAATGGGTACAATTAGGGACTTGTAGAGTCTTATTTTTAAATTAATTGATATTTGGTTGGATGACCATAATTTCGACAGTTGATGGTACTGGAGTCTAGCATTATTAGTTCTCGATTTCGTATCTAATATTGTGAAGCCTAATGATGTTATCTCGTTTCCTAGGTATTTGAAATCTGACACTAATTCTTTCGTATTACCCTCAAAGTTAAAGGGTATAAGTTACTCGCATATGTATTTGAGGTGATAAGCTTGGTTTTTGTGTAGTTAGCTCTTAATCCATATTCATAAGAGTTGTTGACAAATAATCATAAAATATTTATTATCTTGTATTCTGAGTTAGCTAATATACACATAGAAAATTCAGAGAGTTATGCATGTGGTTGAGTGCATATTCTTGTTTAAAGGATTTATTTAGGATATCATTCATTATTACATTAAAAATAATTGGGGAGAGAATGCATCTTTATTTAAGGCCCCTATTTGCTTTAAAAGGTTGTGATTTTATATTTAGATGTTGAGGTATTACGCTATGATTGTCATAAATTATCTTAATTAGCGATATCAGATGCTTATCTATTCCTATGTTTTCCAGCAAGGGCCATATCTTGTGCTGTATAATGGAATCGAAGGCTTGACTTAAATCAATCATTAGGGCAAAGATGGGGGATTTATGCATTCTAGCCTTTTCCAGAATAACTTCAAGTGCCAAAGTCAACTCCGTAGTATTTCTACCCTTCCTGTATGATGTGATAGTGTTAGAGAGGAACCTGTTAATGATTGGTTTAATCCTAACAAATATAATGTATGTGAACATTTTTAGGGTAACTGGAATCAGTGCAATACCTTTGTAATCCTTAAGGCTGTTTGGAGTCTTGTTTTTATGGAAGTTTAGTATTATTGATGTCATCCATTCTTCAGGAAATTTACCCGTATTCCATATCTCCCTAAAGAGGGGAAGTATTAAACAGGCACTTAGGTCTACATCTATCTTCCATAGTTCTGCAAAGATCCCATCGACTCCAGCATGCATTTTCAGTCGTTTAATGGCACCGATTATATCCAACTTGTTCAGGTTCTGACTGGGTGATTAGAAAGGGTAGTCACATATAGGTCTGGGCCACCTCGTTCTGTAGAGCTTCATGTAATGGTCTATCCATATGTCTAATTGTTCCTTTGGGTCAATTATAATTTTATTGTTATTTAAGTGTAGTCTTGGTAAAGGATTGGTCTTGAAGGTGGTGAGTAGTTTAAGAGATTGGAAAGCCTTTTAAATGTTATTGTTATCAAAATTGAATTGGATAGATTTAGATAAATTAGCAATAAACAGCCTTTTGTCGGCCCTTATGCGGTGAGTAATGTACCTCCTGTGATGTTTAGCGTATTGGTAATGGGATATATTTATTGTTAGATTTTTAATTATTTGTATAGTTGAAGGGGTGAGCCACTCTCTGCGTTTAATGCGTGGTCTTAAACATGATGTAATACTAACTAATAAATTCAGCTTAATGTCCTTCCAGGTCAGATTTGGGTTAATCATGCCATTTAATGTATTCCTCCACGTTGCTAATTTAGTGACGAACTCTTACTTCACCTCTATGTCATTGAGCTGTGCCAAGTCTTTTCTGGCTATAAATCTTACACTGGTGAGACAGTTCTGTTTAATGTGATTTGGGAAAATGCTATTGTTGATTCTGAGTTCACAGCCCAGTGGGTAATGGTCTGTAAAAAGTATAAGGTTTAGTTTACTGATTACTCTGATGTCTCTTACCCACTTGAAGATCTTTGTGGAAATTACAAAGTAATCTATTTGTGAGGTAGTACCAAAGGAAGGACTCTTGTAAGTCATGATGTGATGAATAGGATGCTTGAAGAACGTATTTCCAATTTTCATGTTGAAGAGTTCACAGATTTCTATTAACCTTTTACCTTTGGGGCTCGTACTTATTTATCGCTGTCGGAGAAGTATTTAGGGCGACGAAATTAGATTTTATTGGACGCGTTGAGACCACGGAAGGAAAGGGAAGGGGAGAAAACGGAACAGGAAAGTGAGAGAAAGTTTGAGGTGGTCATACCGTTTGGGCCAGGTTGTACGGAAGTGAAAAAAATGGAAATCAGCAGTGGTCGTCGGAAAAATGGGTATAATGTCGTACCGTATAAAGTTCTAGGATAGGAGAGTGGTTGTCTGACATGCTGACCAGTTAAGAAGGGGAATGGAAACAGGGAAGTATCGGTCAGGAATTTTTATTTTAGCTAAGTAAAAATATAGGGTAAAAAAAAATTATTTGCCCATTGTGTTTTGAAGGCGGTTGAGAAAAATGGCCCAATGGTTTTTGCGGACCGGTTGAGAAGTTCAATGGGTGTTGGGGAGCGGTTAAAATGGTTTCATTTCAATTCAGCGAAACCTTTATCGCGAAACACTTTTTAGCGAAACTTTTATCGCGAATGTTGTTTATCGCGAATGTATTTTATAGCGAAACTTTTATCGCGAATCCATAATAGCGAATACTATTCCACGAATGCAATATCGCGAAACAAATATCGCAAATTTTTTATAGCGAAACCTTTATCGCTAAACTTTATAGCGAATACATTACCACGAATACAATATAGCGAAACAAATATCGCAAATTTTTTATAGCGAAACTTTTATCGCGAAACCTTTAATGCGAATACATTACCGCGAAACTTTTATCGCGAATCAATATTCGCGAAACTTTTATCGCGAATCAATAATCGCGAAACATTTGAAACGAATACATTACCGCGAAACTTTTATCGCGAATCAATAATCGCGAAAATTTTATAGCGAAACCTTTATCGCGAAACCTTTAAAGCGAATGCATCACCGCGAAACTTTAATCGCGAATCAATAATCGCGAAAAATTTATAGCGAAGTTATTATCGCGAAACTCAAATCGCGAAACCCAAATCGCGAAACCCAAATCGCGAAACCCAAATCGCGAAGACAATGTAGCGACAATTATTTCGCGAAACATATATCGCGAAGATATTATAGAGAATTTAATATCGCGATAATTGCTAATAATGACTAATTTATTTTGAATCATTTTTTTATAATTATATTATTTGAATAATATTTTTTTAATTCACATAGTTTGTAATTTTCTTTTAACCTTAAAAAATATATATAATGATTAATTAACTTAGATCTGGTTTATGAAATTTGTTATTGAAATACACTTTTTTCCCTATCCTATCCTTTCCTTCGAAGTTCTTATTTTATAATAATCGCGCACAAGGAACTCAGCTTTATCAATATATTAATCATTGAGTTTATTAGTTAAATCTTGATATTTATTGGCGAAATTGATACCTGGGTAGCATTCCTATTTATTGTCTG